AGAGAGAGAGAGAGACAAAAAAAATGATAAAAGAAGAAAAACTTAAAAAACACGATCGTAGCCAAAATAGAGTCGCATAAAAAATGTCCACTTCTTTTTCGTTCCTTGCTTTCTACTAGCTGTCTGTTTTTTTTTTTTCTGACTACGCACTATAATTTTTATTCGATACTGTACAATGTTGAAAGCAGCATAATCATCATGATCGTCATAATCGTCGTTAATAATTAACACGCCAACGTTCAAAACGTATCGTACAGTTATGTGTTTTATAATTTTTTTTTTTCTTTTTTTTCTTTCTCTTTTAAACACAATTTGATCATTTAAACGCTATGATTTCGGATCGTGATTCCAAGTAAGAATCCCGTTTGAAACTTTTCCTCCCAACGATCAACAATGCTCCCTATTCCGTGTTTAACAACTTCTGGTCCCTTTCTTCGCGTAATTTTCAACGAATCATTAAAATTTCCTCGAAAACAAAAAAAAAAAAAAGAAAAAGGAAACCAATTGTTTCCAGTATAGTATAGGATTTTTTATTTACTGAAGAATTCTGATTTTGAAATTCGATATTCGATCATTTTTTTTTTTAAACGAACAGAGTTCACTAGTTTTTTTTTTTTTTTGTAGAATCGATACGCGGAGGAAGGGACTCGATGGATTCTAAAATGTTAAAATTCGTATGGTTCGTTCGTTCGATGGATGAACACGGTTGAACACAAGAGTAAATCAATGAAATGAAAAGGAAACCATCGACGACTTCCTCGAGCTGCCGTTAAATGTGCTTCCTTCGAATCGAATTCTATCTTTCGTTTCACGTGTAGCCGGGTGGCCGATGATGAGAAACTTTGAGGATATCGTTTTTCCTCCGTGGAATCGTGTACGACACGTCGGCAAAGATAGATGACACGTTTTGTCCGTGGAATTATCTCTGCACGCAAAAATGTTTTTGAGAGAATGATGCGAGTTGGTAGTTGATAGATACAATTAAAACAGAAGATACAATTCCTGCGAAACAGCGTAAATAGTGAATTTCATAACGTGTCTTCAATCTTCGATGACATCTCGTACAATATTTTCTCTTTTTCTAAATGGTAATTGGGATTCCACAGATTCAATTCGGTGGTCGTCAGATCGCTCAGTTTTTTGTCTTGTTAAATATTATCCTGCACTATTATTATCGTTATTATTGTTATTATTATCATAATTATTCTTATTATCGTTACTATTAGCATCATTGTTATTGTTATTATTATTATTATTATTATTATTATTATTAATATTAATATTAATATTATTAACATGTATACATAACATCTGTAGATAATTCTTCAAGCTTTAAAACGAACCTATATAAGTGCCTCGAGCAAGTCGATGCGTCTCTCTCTTTTCTCGTTCATTATTCGCGTTATTTTATTTCATATCTTCTTCTTCTTCTTCTTTTTTTTCTCTCTAATTCTTTTTTAATTTTTTTTTTTTTTTTCGTTTTCTCGTTTCGTCGCACAGGTTGCTCGAAAACGTTCGTTGCCGTATTCGACGAAGGCAGGCTTCTTCTACTTATATTCATTTCCCGATCGAATAGAAGGATAACGGGCTCGAAAGAACAAAGGATGCGTGTGATGCGCTCTCCCTCTTTCTCTCTCTCACTCTTTCAATCTTCCTTTCACTCTATTTTATCCTTTCGCACTTTGTCGCATTATCTTGCGTGGTATTTTATTTTTTTTTATTTTTTATTATTTTCTTTTTTTTTTTTTTACTCGTTTATTAATTATCAGCGGTTGGTCGTAATCGAACGAACATGAAGGAGAAATGATATTATTTACAGCACGAGATGTACATATATATACGTTGCAAGCAGAGCATACGATCCACGCGTGATTATCGTAACCGATCTTTCCTTCCATTTTTAATTCGGAAGCGTAAAAAAATCTTAGGACAGGAAAAATTCGCCCTTTCTCCCTGACTATATTTCATCAACACGATAACGAACGAAAACGATAAGGGAAGAGGCGTTACAAGATCCTGACGAAGAGAATACTTTCGAGAACAATTTTCGAACAATACATGATTTTCAACGTACGTATATAAGTCTCGAACAAGCAGAGTTATGAAACGATACGGAAGATCTGCACGCTCTTCGATTATAAATCGTACGCTCTTCCTCGAAACTCTATACATGCGTTATTTATTTATAAAGTAAACGTCGATATAAACATTTATACACACATTTATTATTTATTTATTTATATTCGGCACTTCTTTACGGAGGGAAGGGAGACACAATGAAAATTCCCTACGATACGACGCTGCCTTCGTCGAAAAGGATCCTGCTTTAGTTTTTACGGACACCCTGTATCGCGATATATACCCGATATCCCCCCCCACTAATTCCCCCCTCTTCTCTTTGTACACACTGGCCATTATTTTTCTCTCTCTTAATTTTTATTCTTATTTTATCCTTAGTGCGTATGTATTATAGATTCACAAAGATGGACGAAGGAAGGCAAGGATCGATCGATTTTACGTCGATCCTCCTCCTCCTCCTCCTCCTCCTCTTTTCTCTTCCGTGCCTCGATCTTTTTCCGTTTTTTCTAACCGGTTACCATCAAATGGATCGAACGAACGATCGACAAAGATTTCTTTCCAAAGAATTTTAAATCGTTCCTCGAGCTTCTTTATCTCGTGGCCGGCCTTCGTCCATTTGCGAAACATTGACAAAAATAATTAAACCGCGTCCGTTCTCGCGCTCGAGTCGAAAGCGTCGTTTTGGATCTCGAACAGAGAAGGCGGAATTGCGAACGAAATCATAATCGTTGCGTCCTCTTCCTCCTCTTCTTCTTCTTCGATCTTCTCTCCCTTCCCAGAATCTATCTATCGTTATTTCTTATATTTCTCGCTTCTATTTTTTCGCTTCCTCCTCTCTTTCTTTTTTTTTTTTCTTTTTTATATATATCAGATTTGGAAGATCGAAGAACTTTTTTTCGAAGTATTCAAAAATCGATCAACGATGGATATTCACTACGCCACTGTTCCTTCGTTTCTTTCGGTTGCTTTCATCTTATCAAATACGATACATCTTTCTCGTTTCTCTATTATTGTTGCTGTCGCTTGTTGCTTGTCGATTATGTGTATTTTTTTATCCTTTTTCTTTTTTTTTATTTTTTATTTATTGTAACGCAGTCTCACACGTTCAAATAACCCGCCATTCCTTCACACGCATTTGTTTCGCTGTTGATTCCTTTTGCTTTCCTTTTTTTTTTGCTGCTGTTGTTGTTGTTGCTGTTGTTGTTGTTGCTGCTGTTGTTGTTGTTGTTACCTTAATTTTACTCACGTGTTCAGTTTTGCGAGTCGTTGCTGCCGGTGGCGCTCGCTGAAAAGAACAACAAGCGATTGTTTTTTTTCCCTTGTCTCTTTCCAAGCGACCTTTTTTTTTTTTTTGCAACGTCTTTCATCTTGGAGGACATTTCAGTCACATCGCTTGGTTTCGTTTCGATCTTTCGTTCTTTTTCTTTTCTTTTTTTTTTTTTTTTTTTTTTTTGGTTATTCTTTGCATGCAGAATGCCGACGATCATGGACAAAGATATGCTTATTTTCGATAAGAAATAGAAGAAGAAGATGAATTTTTAAAAAGAATTATCAAATTTTCAATAAGATACGAGTATAATAGATGTCAAATAATTCATTAATTCGAAAAATCGCAATAAATCAATAATTAATACAATTTTATTATCTTTGCCCACGAGACTGTGATCGACCTAATCTTTACAAAACATATTACAAAACGATAACAATGCCACATCTACATCTGAAACAAATCGCATGCAAACTTCACGATCACATTTAACATCAACTATTAATTCGTCGTTAACGCTTATAAAGATCGAACACTGTTATCGCATTCCTCTTCTCGCATCGTCCCGACTTTTCCTCCAACGTTTAAAAATCATTCCCGTTTTTTCCACGAAAACGTATTCGCATTTCCCGATCACGGTAACCTGTTGGAAGCGGATCCCGATAAAAGCGTTCCATCGAACTTCTTTCTTCCGCGTGTAACGTCTAACCAGGAGGAAGCCATGCATCGCTACCTTTCCCGATCAGCATGAAAATTATCTATCGAACGTAAAAAAAAAAGAAGAAGAAAAAAAAAATAAATAAAATATAAACATAAACATGCCCCATAATCGTTCTCAAGCTTTAGAGAAACGTGCACAGCGTGAAGATCGTCCCAGAAAATAATATATATTTTTGTTTCGTAGGGAGAAGAGATTATCCTCCTTTGGAATATCTTTATATACATACAATATCATTATATGTTGTCCATGTAATTGTATATTCTGGAACAGTGTTCGGAGTTCGTGAGGAAAGTAAAAGATTATAAATAATAATAAATGACGACGAAAGAGATACATAAGAATAGATCGAAGGAAAAATTTCATGCTGAGATCGAAAATATGCAATAAAAAAAAAAAAAGAAAAAAGTCCGGATTTTCTGAACTGCGCGCAGAAATTGATCGAATTCTTAAAGTTCTATCGAAATGATAAATTATTTTTGTTCACTTTTTTCACGGAGCAGAGAAAAACAAAAAAGAGAGAGAGAGAGAGAGAGAGAGAGAGAGAGAGAGAGAGAGA